GAAGCTTTTTGTGTTTTTATACATATTTAAAGACGAAACAAAACTTCGCTATCTGTTCCGGCACGTGTTACTATTTACTTACTAATATCTACATATTTAGCAGCAGCATTTACACTAAAACAAGTGCCACCAAAATGTTAGCCAAAAACTAAAACTCTTTATATTGTCGACGCAAGGCTGTAACGTGCGTGATTTTGAAAGTAATCGAAAAGCATATATTTACATACATATATATGTATGTATGTGTACGTAGCTTTACTTTAAAATACTTGGTTTGCTCTTAGAACCTTCTCGTTTGCTAGAGAAAGAGCTTTCTAATCACATATAAAGCTGCTCCTAAGCCCACAACATACACACGCACACAAGAAACGTATGTAAATGTACATACATGCAAGAGCATACAAGCTCCGCAACTGCAACACATACACCTTAATGTTTAATGCCTAGCAAAAGTAAATTAACTAAATGTGTAGTTTTTTTGTTTGTTTTTTATAAAAGCAAAAACCTAGCATCGCTTTAAAACCACTGTGCGGTGACGAAGCGCAAACCAATGAGTGTATGTGGCTGAGGGTTTGGTGAGTAGGGAAAGACGCGAAAGCACAAGCGCTCCCCGCATGCTCTCAGCTCCCCTTCGTGTCTGTATATATGTATACATATGTGTATATGTATGCGCGCCTGTGGTGAGCTTAGGCTTGACTAAGGCGAATTGTTGCGTGCGACGCCGACGCGAACAGAGTCCTGCTGCTGCTGTTGCTGTTGCTGCTTGCTGCTAGCGAGCTTTTTTCATTGGATTGCGTTTGTATGGGTGCACGCAACACTAAAAGTCAATTGACCCGAAACTGTTGTAAATGTAAATATGTACATGCGAATGCAGCAGCACGGGTAGATTTGCTTTTTATTTTAATTTCACTTACAGACACATAGTCATGCACATAATCATGTAGATGTGTGCTCATAGAGAATGTATTTTTTTTTTAGATTTGTACAAATCACAGAGAAAACTCTGTTGGCTTAACTAATGTATTTTTTGTTTTGTTTTGTAAAGCATATGTATGCATATATATAGTTTGTATGTACATATGTATGTATGCATATACGAAATGTATTTCTTAAACGTATTCAGTACTTTTAGCTGGTGGTCGTTGTTGTTGTTGTAGTAGTTGCTCCCGCTATTATTAGCGCAATGTGAGTACAAAAACAAAAGCCACAGCAGCAGCAGCAGCAAAAACAACGGTTGCCGTTTGTTTTTTTTTTTTTTGTTTTGCTCTCTATTGTATTTGATATTCCGCAATTGTTGCGCCGCGTCATGCTTAACTTTTCAATCTATTTATGCTTTATTTTCATTTTCATTTTTCTTACAATTATTTTGCACGTTCGTGCGCTCGCTCTCACCACAATACGTTCTCTTACTCTCTGCCCCTCTCTCCCAAGCTCTCTGTTACGCTCCCACGCACGGATGCATGATGCGACTGCGACAGCGACAGCTCCACCAAGCACTCTGCATTTGCCGCCAGTGTCGGCAGTTGTCATAAGAGCGCAAATTGCTAATTGTTATAATATGCATGTAATTAACTTATGAGCAATTTTCACCTGTATGCTAATTAAGTGCTTTTTTCATATGCAATTTGCGGTACATTTTACGCATAGAATACAGCAAAGTGTCCGCTGTTTTGAGATGTTACGAAAATTAGCTTTTTATCAGATTTACAGTAAGATAATCTTAATAAACATCAGTTTAACGGGTTCTTAAGCTTTCTAGGCTAGCAGCAGCAGCAGCTGTTGCTGTTTGCGTGCAAAACAAAGCTTTTTGCTTTACTTTGAATCAGAAATGTTAAGAAATGTGCCAAATACGATAAGAAAGCACACTTTTTATAAATATTTGGATATTTTAAATGTTTTCAAATGCGTATTTACAAAGGACGAACGATTTTTAAAACGAAACTAGAAGAAAAAACAAAAGCCGCTTGAATAATTTGCATTTACAAATGTTATTCTTATTCTTGAGTACATATTTTAGAAATGTACTTTTTACCGTTATCTTTGGTACACAATTGAAAGTTGTTTCTGTTGCTTAAGGTTAATTGTGTCTGTTGATGTGATGTTAACAATGCGATGTTACGAGAAAGACTTATTTGCAATGCAAATTATGATTTGACTAAAGCAAAGGAATAGATAATTTTTGATCTGCCCTTTAATGACCTTCTCTTTGAAACTTAAACCGAAATGTTTATTTATGGTGTTTTTAATCTAGGAATACCTACAATGCCCTAATATACATATATACATATATATGCCCTATGTCAAAAGTCAGCTTTCTAAATATCCCCAAACTGTTGACAATTAAGTGACATTACACCTGATTATCAGCAAATTTAACTGCAGTCTATACACACACATATATTTGGACGTGTGGTTTATATACGTATACGAATATCATGTATTTCTGTTGATAGTTGTTCTATTAGCGGAGAAGTGACTCCGCTTAAAAATCTCGAACTACTGATACGACAAGCTATTGCAATTATATGGCACCAATGTCCAATTAAAATGAGTATTAAATCTACCAACATTTTAAAATACTTTTATTAAGAACCCATGTCTGAGTTTGTGAATTTAAAGCCAACAATGACAAAATCAGAATATCTTGAATCTTAGGAATTTCGATAAAAAAAAAATATATATATATAAATACATATATATTAATTAACTAAATTCCTTAGATTGGGTCCATCATCAGGAAGTTTAAATGTTTCCCGTTTGGAATTTGCTTTTTAAAAATCAACAGCATATCTAGAGTGCCCGACCTTAAGATACTCCTTTTCTCAATACCACCCTTATACCAAATTGGTTCCTAAATAACTTATTGTTTTTGTCCGATCGTTATAAAGTGATCTGGTTATAAACACAGTTTAAAATTCGCAAGCTTTTATAAACGATATTTGCTCGTAAAAGTCAAGTTGAACATCGATATTTATCGATTTTCTCGAAACGGACAAGTGATCGAGTTATCTTAAGTCGACGCGGACAGGCGCCAGACTAGATCGACTCGACTATTGATGCCGCTCAAAATTCTTGGCCCATGGGATCCAGTATGCCTGCTGTTACATACACCGGTACAGCTCTGTTATACAGGGTATTGCAAAAAAAAAATTGATGCAATGCCTCTCATTCATTGCAAACGACAATTCTAATTTCTGCATCATTTCCAATTTTTTAAGTTAATCAGTTGCAAAGCCAACACCATAATAGATTTAGACCACAAATTTGCATTTAAAATTTTATTGAAAGTTTTTGAAAGTTGTTTTAAATTGTAAGCCACTGTGCACGAATGTATGTGTATGTGTAAATATACAAATGCACGTTTCTATTATGCGCAATTAAAAAAAAAAAAAATTCATTTAGCTAACCGGGTCATCAGCTCGCGATGATGGGGGCCAGCGATTGTGTGTCGCATTAGCGATTAAAGCCAGCGGGAATTAAAAAAATGCAACACATCAAATGCAGTTTGGTCTGGGCTCAAGGGAGAAAAGCGGGTTCTCCTTGAATTCAATAAAAAAAAAAAAGAAGAAACCTTGAAGAGATGTCCATGCGAAAACACACACACACATACAGAGAGACACGACCCTGGGCGGAGTTTGGAGTCGAGGCTGTACTGCTCAAGGACGACTAGAGCCAACGAGATGATGATGACTCTTTTCAGTTTGTTTTCTGTTTCTGCGTTTTTTGAGTGTTGTGAGTTATGCTTTTTGCCTGACATAAAAAAAAAAAGGGAATAAAACAAAACTTCGAATCATGCACACGGTACGACGCTGGCAGCGTTAGCGACTGCGCAGCAACAGCGATAACAGCGCCAGCTAACAAAGTTATGCCCCACCAGCCTCCCGCTGCCCGACCCACCTATCCACCCCAACTTCTACAGCATGAAAATTTTCGTTGTTGCTTTACGCTTTGCTTGGTGTCCTGTCCCTCGCACACATACACAAACGTAGAAAGTCCCAGTCACAAGCACCGTAATTTACGTGCGGCTCTGCTCTCTTTCACTGAAAATCTCTTGCTTGTTTGCACACACACACACACACGCACACACACACACACACACACATGAGTATACACTCGTGAACATATACATAGGCTTTTCTCCTTTTTGAATTTTACTGTTATTCTGGAATATCTCTTTTCATATAGACAGCAGCATCTACAGTTACTTTACACTACAGTTTGTTGTTTTTGAACACAGACACACAGACACACACACACACACACACACACACACACCAGACGGAAGTTTCTTAAAAATATCGCATAATTTATTTGTAAAAATGTTAAATAATTTCATACGTACATATATCTATATGTATGTTACCTTTAAATACATACATACATACTTATGTGTACATACATACAAATGTATGTACGAAATGGGCACACTGTTATTTCTCACTCGATGCACTTTTTGGCGTATATGGTTGGGGTGGGGGCGGCATCAGGGGCGCGTGTGTCTTTCTGTTTTTATGTGCTGCCTTTTGGCCAATTGGAAAATCGAAATAAATAAAAGAAATTCAAAAACCAACAGCGCGGTCATTGAGCCGATTTTTATTATTATTAGTATATTCCTCTTTTTTTTTTTATAAATAATCCAATATTCGACGGGTATGTACATCATTTACATACATATACTTATGTGTGACCAAAAAAAAAACAAAAAAAAACATTTCATACACACACGCACAGAGCACGTCTTAGCTCGGTCTGTATGCATATATATGTATGTATATGCATATGTGTGTGTATGTGTGTGTGTTTCCAATTGGTGTTTGTTGCTAGTCCGTTGCTCAGCTTTGAGGCTGTTGAGAATTTTCTGCCTGCTGAGCCGTCGCAGCAATGTTTGGCGTCGCCCCCTCTATGTACATATGTGTTTGTGCATGGGCTTTGATATTAACGCACAGTTTCAACAATTTCAGAAGAAAAAAAAAAAACAAAAAATTCTGCTTGCAATTTACCTTTTGAATATTATTGCTACACTTTTTGCTCACACAACGACGCAGACGCACGATAAATTGATTCGAAGCAAATTTCTAACGCGCTCCCGCAACACACGTCCGGCTGAAGTTTCAACGCAAAAGTAGTGCTGCAAAAACAGTCGAAGGCACTATCGATATTGTTGATTGAATCGATTTAAAATCGAGACGAAAAAATTACCGATAATAAATCGATTTTTACTGCAAGTCAACAATCGAACAAAAAAATTTATTTATTCTTTTGAGAAGAAAACTAGTTAACAAACCAAAAATTGGGGCAGCGGTACGAATAAAGTTACATATAATATGTTAAGATTAACAGAGCTCGTAAGGAATTACGTCAAAAACGTTAACGCAAGGGGTAGCTCGTAACGAAAATAGGGCAACGTAATGCCAATTGTTGTGACGTAAGCGCAAAACGGAGCAATGCATATGCAAAAAGGAGCTTACCGAATGTTAACGCATGTAAACAGAATGTTAAGTGCTATCGACACAAACTCATCGAATGTTAAGCGAACTCGTTCATAACTGTGCGACACAGTTGCAAAGTGATGATGTTTACGGTGAATGGGGGGTGAGAAAAACGCACAAGTCAGAGCAGAAAGAAGAGTGGGAGAAGGTAACAAAACTACAAATTAAAACTCGTGTCTTAAACACATTTTATTCGCGTATGTTAGCGAATGTGGAAAAAATTCGTTGTTTTTAGTCGTACAGCGCACAGTTAAGTTTAGTAAAAATATATTAAATCGCACGAACAACCGCCGATACCCCTCCCCAAACGCACACAGAGCAACAGCAGCAGCAACCACAATAACAACAACAACGACGACGACAATAGCTAAAAATTGACTATGAATAACGGATTCAGCACCGGCGAGGAGGACTCGCGGGGCGGTCACACGGACCAAACATGCTGCCTGATCGATGATATGGAGCGTTGCCGCAACCAGGCTGGCTATGCCAGCTACAGTAAGCGCATACAGAAAACGGTCGCACAGAAGCGGCTCAAACTGAGCAGCGATCCAAGTGCGCAGCACATTTACATATGCGACTATCACAAAGAGCGCATTCAATCGGTGCGAACGAAACGGCGACGCAAGGACAGCGAGGACGACAGCAACGAGACGGACACGGATTTGCATGAATTTCCCGATCTATATCAGCTGCATGTGTCCACGCTGCGTCGTTATAAGCGTCACTTCAAGGTGCAGACGCGACAGGGCATGAAGCGTGCGCAATTGGCGGATGTAAGTGCTACAGATCAGAAGCCAGATCAAATCTATATCAATATATATATATATATATATATGTACATATATATCTATGAACATATAAATGTATAAATGTAAATCTCATGTTTCTATTCGCTTTTCAGACCATCATGAAACATTTCAAGACAATACCCATAAAGGAAAAGGAGATCATAACGTTTTTTGTGTACATGGTCAAAATGGGCTCCAATAAATTGGATCAAAAGAATGGCATTGGCAATGATACCACTTGAACGCAACTCTGACGGCGGCCGCGCTATCGTTATCGTTATCGCTATCGTTATTGATGCCGGCTGCTGAATTTTAGCGCTAGCTGTCCTGCTCACACACACAGTCACATAAACTATGCGTACAGTGAAATCGAATTAGCCGCATTTGCAGCCAAAACAAAATTTACAGTTTTCTCTTTATAACTTTTTTCTTCTTGGTTTTTTTTTTTTTTTTTTTTTGTTATTTTCAATTTTTTAATTGTTGTCTTGCATGAGTATCATGCCGCGGGTTCGGCCCTGTAACATAGCACGGCTGGATGCATTGATCAGAATGGTTTTTGGGGTTTCGGTTTTATAGACAACTTGTGGTAATACATAAATTAAATTTTATATATTTTTAAATTCTATTCATGTAAATTCTCAAGATTTTGTTTTCGTATAATTATGTCAGAAATATATTGTTTCTGCTTCACTGTACTACGTCAGCATAGCCGCGGTGTCCACTTACCAAATGCCCTAATAGCCCACACATCGACAAACACACACACACAGAAACAGAAACACCACGACCATATGAATTGTAGAAGCGGTCGCAGCAACAACCACAACAACAAAAACACAACTGGTGCTCCCAAAATAGTATAAACGAAAATATTGCAATTGGAGGTTAAAGGAAACAAAAATTGAATAGTAATTGTAGCGTTCATTGTTAATAGCTCTTTATACAAAAACAAAAAACAAAAAACAAAAAAAAACTAATTTTACATAGATAATAATACTATGTAAATGACACAATTGAAGACCCAATTTTGGGGCCAAACGATAAGCAACTAACATTTACCTTAGCCTTTCATTATTAAATGCTGATTTGTCACCTCTTAGCCAAAAGCAATCAAATAAAATTCTAAATCTGCCAACGTGAAATGAATGAATTATAAGAACAACAATCAATAACTTCATAAAATTCTACGTAAATTAAAAACTGTTTAATAATATGTAATTATTAAATTAATAATTAAATTTAAATTAAATTGTAAATGTAGTTTTTAACCTGAATTTTAAGAACTTATTTAAATCAAAAACAAACAAAACGAAAGAAAAAAAAACATTTTTAAATTGAACAAAATCTGCCGTTTTCGGCAGAATGTTGCTCGCAAACCCTTGCAGGATTGTTATATACATACATATATTCTATGGAAATACAGCCATAGATATAAAGAAGTAGATCTCTTCGGCTGTTGTTCGAAAAGAGCTTTAAAACTGCCTGAATTAATGTGGTAAATACTTATAAACGGGATTAATTAAACCCTCTTATACGTAAAAGTGCCATCTGCAAGGGTATACAAATGTGCGTGGCAATAAAAAAAAATGTTATTTTTATTTAATTACATAAATTAAAAGCAATGCGCGTTTTATTCGGGCAACAATTAATGTATCATAGCAATAAATAAACATAGCAATAAACACAAATAGAATAGTCCATATTAAAGTCTTGTCCTCCAAGACATGCTGTGTGCTGACATCTTTGATGACATGTCATCAGCATAGTCGATGGACTTAGCGACAAGCTTATAGACATTTTAGGTTAGAAAATTGATCAACAAATAAAGAACGCTCTCGCTTAACGCAACCCATTAAAATCGGTTCAATTGCAGAAACCAAAATAAAATGTAATATTTGCCAACTGACCTGCTTTTAAAAAAGAGATGCCTTTTATATACATTATTATTAAAGTTAATTAAATAAATCCGTGTTTGAAATAATTTTATTTTGTGCAATTTATTATTGGAAAAATGGGAACTTTTGGTCATCACTTTTCTACAGTTAATATTTTGCTGCATTTATCATGCGTGGGAATCCAAAATTTACAATTTTCAACAGAGGCCAATTAAAAAAAAAAAAGGGGTCAAAGCATACCATTTTCTAAACAAACGAAAATGGCAATAACTAAAGTGCTGCTTTGCTAAGAACTTTGGAGCTGCGTCTATTGAGGAATGTAGTAATAAGGGCGTACTGTGTATCAGTTTGGCTTATGAGCTTACCTTAATAATAACTTAATTCCAAAAGATACATATAAGACCATAGAGATTAGACCATATACATATGTACTTATATTTGTATGTACAGAGAAGGATGTTGAGAAGTTGGGTGGGGGATTAATAAAAACAAATATCTGCAGAAAAGCCTTATAGCCAGCCGTACACCATTCAGGCCACATAACCCAACAGAAAAGAGAAACAAAAATCAAAATCGGAAAACGAATTTGTAGATATACATATGTATAAATATCGTTGCATGTGCTCCCACTGACGCCCAACTTGTTGAAAAATGATGATCGATTATTCTAGCAGACAGTAAATAGCCAAAAAATAATGCAATATTACTAAAATGGGAAATACAATATAAGGTAGTATGCACAGTGAAGACTATGAATAAGTTCGTAAAATTCACCAGCAACTTATTTAAAAGGCGAGCACATTTTTCGCGGGTTTTCAACTAATATCGTATGAATCGATATTTTCTTTAGTGCGATACGTGGGTACAGCCGATATATATTGTGTGATGTTTTTAACTGGCTGTATTTTGTAATATCAGCAGTTATCGATGTTGGCGATACATCGATAAGAACACTCACCACTAGCTTAGTTCATTTTTTGTGGTGGTTAACGTACAAATGTGCTGCGTGCTCCTTTTTAACAAGTTTTCAGCATATTTACATTTGATATCTTAATCCTCCGACGTAGTTAAAGCTATTTGGCAGTTGAATCGTAGCTCAACTGCATTGCCGGATCGCTGAAGCATCAAGAAAGACGGACTCGCGCACACAGATTAACCAACGCTACATACAAAGACCCACACATACGAAGAAGCGTGCGTGTTGGTGTGTGTGTGTGTGTGTGTTTGTGTCAGTGTCAGTGCGTGCTGCTGTCGTCGTCGTTGCAAAGAGGAAGCAGCAGGCAAAGGCGAACGGCGGACGCGAAAAAGGAGCCAAGAGCTCAAGAAGCTGTAGGGAACGGCTGGCAGTTACCGGAACATTGAGTTGCAGCAGCAGAAGTTCAAATACATACAGCATAATAACAACAACAACAATAACAACAAGAAAATAGCAACAGCACACAACAAAGGTGTCGCCCCCGCCTTTCCTCCCCCACAAAAATGCAACAACAAGAATCTGGGGGCGAGGAGAGCTGGCTAGAGGAGCAGTGCCATCGCGAAATCAACGGCCAGAACGATGAGTACGAACGCGAGTTTGTGCGTCAGCGCGACAACAATTTAAGCACCGTCTGGGGCGCATTCCAGGACTCGGCCACTGCAGTTGCACAGCTCTATCGTGGTAAGTGCTTCATTCTGTTCATCCTGCTGAACCTTTTGATACTCTAAATACATTTTGTTTATGGTACTATGCTTCGTTTGTATTTGTATCGCATACATTATGTAGCACATGCACACACCCAGTCTGTGTATGTGTATGTATGTATGTGCATAAAAATAGTTCCGACGAGCGTATTAATAGCGGCCGTGCAGCCTGCCTGCGCCAGGCAGCAGCAAATTGTAACAACAACAAGTGCATGTTCACAACAGGCCCGGCTTTTAAGCTTCTAGGTGTATATGTGTGTGTGTGTATGGGGGAAGCTTGATGCTGCTCTCGCAGGCATCATTCACACGCCTTAAAATTCTCCACATTCCCTATTCTCCACTTATTCGCTTGCAATCTACGCATTATCAAACTGCAGCAGCAGAAGGGCTTGGAATGCAATAGAGCCCAGGCATGTTGATGTCTCTGTCTGCGTTCGGTTTTTGGTGTTCCTCTTTCAACGAAAAAAAAAAAAAAAAGAACGAGGGGAAAGCGAAACGCAATAACATTTGCGTTGCACTGCGCAGCAACTGCAGCGTTTGTTATCCTTAAGGCATAGACGCTGCGCTTTACTTTTTTGGTTTAATTCATTTTAGTTCCAGATGAAAATGTCATTTGGTCATATAGCATCTAAGCACAAATGTGTGTGTGTATTTGTTTAAATATAGTGCGTCATTTAAAAAAACAACATTTGACAAACAGCTGTTTTCGACAGTCGCTGCAGAGAGTGGAAGCTGCTGACGTCGCTGCCGCCGCCCTAGGCGGCATAAGCGTTTGCGTCGTATTCTGCTTGTTCTCTTCCTCGTTTTTGGTTGTTGCTACTCGCAAAGACAAGCAACAGCGAGATATCTTAACGTTTCTAATGCTCCTTATTTCCGTTTCTCTTGATTACAATTTTTTTCTGTATTTGCTGCTATCCCTCTCCCACTTGGTCAGTTGATGCGCCATGCCGTCGTGGACTCTACGGCATTGTCATTTAATTCTCCCTTATGTGCTGCGGATCAATAACGGCAAGTTGCTTTGGTCCTTTATGTGTCTGTGCCTTTTGTTCAGCAGCAGCAGCAGCAGGTGTTGGCTATTGTAAAGAGAGAAGAGAAAACAAGGAGAGAACAATTTCCCTAGGCGATCTGCGAATGATGGCCATTTCGATTTGCACCCCGCTCGATATTCTATTGATAACAATAAAGGGATAATACTTTAATTTACCTGAATATTTTTTTTTTCTTTTTCTAAAACAAAAATGGAGACGATATCATTTGTTTCTTAGTTTGATTACCAAATGTGTAATTTACAGTGGTGGCCAATTAATTGAGACCAAATTTTGTTAATATTTAAAATCTTTTAATTAAACTCTTATTAAAACTCAAAACAACAAACTCAAAACAACAACTGACCGACTGTAGATTTGAAGATTTTAAGAGCTGGGGAAACCAAATATAGTAATTAAGTATTACGGATCTTAAGCTAATAGATGTTCAATAATTCCCGAATCGATATTAATGTAGTTCTGTTATCTTGCCTTTTACAGAGCGCTCTTCCAACACATTCGCTCCAGAGGCCGGGGCACTGTGGCTGCCCTTTCAGACCGCAGCTGGTACTGTGACAACACTCTACAAAGGTGAGGAGAAGTTTCTTTGCAACTATTTGGTTTGAAGAGAATTCAGTTCTCTCGCGGACCCTATCAATGGATTTTTTAAACAAATTTTAAACTAAAGTAACTTCCTTTTAGAATCTTGTGATGGTCTCAAACGCACCAGCGACGCTGCCATACAATGCGGCTACCAAAGACGCACACGCGAACTGGCCGATTGGGCGCGCAGCAAAAAACGCCGCATGATACGGCGCGAGGATTTGCTGGCCTATTTAGCTGGAAAAGCGCTGCCAACGCAACCAACGAATCCACATGCCAATCGTCGGTGAGTCCGCCTTCTAAGGCAGCCGAACATATCCTTCAAACTAATGCTTTCCCTCTCTCGCATGCTCGCCCGCTCGCCTCATGCTGCAGGTCGCCCAAGCCGGAACATCATCATGGCGGCGGAGTACATCATCATCAAGTCAACGGCAGCCCCAATAGTGTCACTGGCTCGGCGATAGGCTTTGCCAGCAACGGACTGACCATGATGCCACCCACAACCGCCGGCGGACAGCCAACGCATTTGCTAAACGGCGCCAGCGGTCAGGCGGCGACAGTAGGTGCCACAGGCGGCACTGGCGGCATCATCGGCGACGATCTGCACACTTTCAAGGAGGCCTTAGTTTTGCGTCCACGGTACTTATATTACAATACCCAATTGAGCAATCTAGTTACATGCTTTGCTAGTCTCGAATAGGCATCAGCTTCTCATATATATATTTGCAGACTTCAAACTAGTATGTGAAGCATTCAAAAGGGTGTGAAGGCATATCATTTCCATTATTAATCTGTGGAAAATATATATTCCATATTCAAATTTAAGTGTTCATAAAGTATAGAAGAAACTGCTTTTAAGCCATACTTTGTGTCTTTGGACCTTGTTTAAGGTTATATTTCTGTTACGAAATGCATATAAGTAGACATTTGTATTTGTCGAAAGCAAAATAAGCTCGTCACTTGAAAATTGAAAAATATGTTTTCCTATAGCATACGCAAAACAAGTTTATCATAGTTTTTCACGATTTCTTAGCTTATTTTCAAAGTATCAATAACAATCGATTTTCAGACATGGTTTTTCAAACATAACTCGTAAATTTTAGGAGTTACATACATCAAATTGCAGGTTAAAAACAATTAACTTTTTGGATACGTCAACCCGTACCCCCAAAATTCGAAGCAAATAAATCTGAAAGGTAGAGCCCTGTGCTTTGTGTATGCCCTATTTAAGCCCTGCAAATTTCATAAGATTCGGACTGTAAGCAACCAAGTTAAATCAGAATGCATTTTTCATGGATAGTGAAGATTTATATATATGCATATTTCTTAATTTATTTATTAATTAGTTTACTTTCGCTTTGCTTTCTAGCGGACCGGAGCTATTTGCATTTGTTGCCAACGAAATCGCTCGCCATTGCAAGCGTCCCGGCAGTCCCATCGATGACAAAATGGACATTTGCCACTACAGCAGTAAACGTCAGCGCTTTATGTAATCCCAGCATCTAGCGGCAGCCAATGGGGTTGATACACATACACACACAAGCACACACACACACATGCATACACGCTCTAATACACATACACATGCATGCGCCAAAATGAAATGCAACAACACTTTTCCCACTCAATGCAGCAGCTGGAGTAACACGTGGTATTGGTTGGGGGAGGGGAAGAGGGGTGGCATTGAAACTACAACAAAAACAAGACCAACTGCAGTCCCCGCAACACACCGGCAAGTTGTGTGTGTGTGTGTGTGTGTGTGTGTCTGTGTAGGTGTAGGTGTGTGGCGCGGGGGCGCGACTAGTTCTATTAAACTGTACTATTAAACTGTTAAATTCTGTTTATAATATTTATGCCGTAAAGTTCTTGTTACTGCGCTTTGTCGACTCAAACACAACACAGACACACACACACACACACACACACACACACACACACACACACACACCGCGCACAAACAAAAACACAGTAAACACACACCGAGCAGCATAAGTTAAGTTTAGTTAGTTATTAAGCATAAAAAAGCTTTTGTTGTAAGTTTTCAAGTCAAAAGGTGGTCTTAAACATAGCGAAAATATTGTGTTAATGCACGCAGTTAAATGTAGCCTAGTATAACACAAACACACACATACTTTCAAAACTGTTATACGTAGGCTTTATTGAAACATGAAAATGAGATGAAAACAAAAAGAAAACAGACCCATTAGCCCGTTCCAGGTGGCAATTAAGCCGTGTTACCAATCGATCTATCTATGCACATTTTAAAACGGTTATGTAGCAAATGTTGTAATATATAAATATATATATGTATAACAAAACTGCAGACACTGTTGTAAGCCAAAAGTTGTAATGTATATAAGTGAGTAAGTCAGAAATGATAGGAAAGAAATACGTTTCGATAAAGTTACATTATGTAAACCTTAGCTGTTTATATAAACAATATATATATATACATATATATATTTATCATTTGTTCATCTAAATCATAGAGTTCACATCATCGAAACGCTTCCTAAAGTCACCACAAAAAAAAAATTGAAAGAAAAAAGCTAACAAAACTAACAAAATTTCAAGTAAAAGAATAAAGAGAATAATCCGCGGTACAGTTGCAAACGATATTTGATCTTGGCAGTAACTTTTTCGCATGTGTAGTTAGCCAGGTAATACCATCTATATATTTATTCGTATAGAACCCATCTATGTATATGAATAGCGTCGATGATCAAGTTGAGAAAGTTGAGAAAGAAAGCACGTACTAAATTATATGTATTAAAACAAAAGTCCTATGAAATATTTGAGTTGTAATAAATTTAACAAATATGCTTAATTAACAATATACAATTAAAAAAGAAAAAAGAACGCAATTAAAAGAAGAAGAAATTATTATACAAGATTAAGAAGAAAAACACTATAAGTTTAAATAAAAACATTAAAACATACAAAATAAACCTCAATAAGCCTCATTTTCAATTCATTTACAGTGCTGCGTATTTCAAAAGTTAAGAATATAATGTATATATTGTTATTAAATGGAACGAGATATTACCTATATTGTTAATGTGAAAGGAGTTGATATTTGAGTTCCTAAATGCTTATCGAATTTAATTGAAAATGTAGAGAAAACCGGAAAACGATCCTAAAAAACATAAACTTCCCTCGTACCTAAAGTTCTTCAAGTATATATCTAGGCTAAGGACAATTCTGATCTAGAGCAAAGTAGAAAATATTTGCAATCTTTGCTAATATAGCCTGGAAAAGCAAAATGGAAAACGTTTTGAATTGTTAAGTCCGATCTTAGCAAGACTTTTTCACTGACTTTTTATAAATCGAACTCTTCGAAATATATTGGAAATAGAATAGGTTTGCTTGATGCATTAGACGCTCAAAGTATTTGAATATACGTTATTCGAGACTTCACCAAAAAAATGTCGAATTAATAAAAAACTAGGACTTCTAGAAGTCAATATATGTCAGGAACCACAACGTCCAGTCGAATTTTAAGGTGCACCTGTACGGAACGACTTAATGACACAGAAAGAGACAGACAGATAAACATCGCCTTCTTCTTCATTATACCTGGAATTTATTTCTATACTTTTCGCAACGAAGTTGGCTGATAGTTCAAAGCCAAAGATGAGACCTTCTTAGCCGGAATGAATTCCTTGTTTACTCGTAAGTTTATTTTGGGGGTTCAAGAAACTCAAGAATTTTACATTGAAATTCATTGCTATTTTTATTTTCATATTCATTTTAAATTTATATATATATATATATATATATATATTGTTTTTGTTTTCTTCTTTTTTGTTTTTGTTGTATATTTATATATATAGATGTGTACATATATATTATTTGTATAACTGCACAGCTGGCAATTAATTACATATACATTAAATCGGTGAATTAATTAACTAATACAAAACAAGACGATTGCAATGTAGCGAGACTGTCAAACTGTACAGTCGTAGGGGCGCCAAGCAGTAGCTGTCTAACTGTAACATAACTGCCGGAATAGTTTTTGAATTGTCGCTTGATTTTCGTTACTGATAACAGGAAAAGCTTTGCATATTTTGGAAAACATTTAAATTAAATAAAGTGCCAGTTGCAGCTATATGAACATTAGTGAACAAAATTTTTTAAATCGCAACTATTTATCAACAGCAACAAAATGAGCACAGCAACAGTTTGGAATGCTGCGCAGCAAAACACAGTTATAGTTATTTATTTTTTTCATTTTTCCTTTTGAACTAGAGATATCAACAAAATTGTTAAAAAGATTTTCGATTGTTGCAATTTCAAGCACAATTAAATAAATTTTAGTTAGCGATTTTTCTTTCTTTTAATTCTATTTTTCAATTCATTTTAGGTGTGTGTTTTTGTGTGTGGGGGGCATGGGTGTGTGTGTGTATGTAAAACAATGTGAAGAGCAAAAAAAAGGTTAATTTTTAATCGGTTTAACGATAACGATAACGATACTTTTGAACTAATTACAATGTCTTGCCCTAAACGGAATGTTTATGCTACATTTCCAACACTTAACAGAAACTGTTCTCAATTGCCATTCCACGAAAATTCATCTTTGCTGTGATATGCAAATACGCTTGAGTTAAATTCATTTAGAATTGTACGTCAGAACAGTTCTGTACATATATATATATATATATATGTAATATGTATATATATAGTTCTTAATATGTCAAAAAACAATATTAATGCAAAAATTAAATTAAAAAAATTTAACGTTAACGGACATGTTTTTGAAAATGTATGCAACATATATATATGTATATGCTGCTACTTTATATATATATATATATTTGTTTGTGTGTGTTTCTTAGTGTTGGTCGTTATGTTGTCCAATTCAATAGCGAGTTTAAGTTGTTTGTATGCGTGTGTGTGTGTGTGTGTGTGTGTGTGTGTGTAAAAAAGCAGTTAAGAGCCCTTAACACAAAACCGGTGCGTGACGTTGCGCAGGTCGCAGCCTAAAACTGAACCCAATTGGCGTTTGCCGTATTCTGTTGTCCTTGATTACCACTGAAAGACCGAGAGAGAGAGAGAGAGAGAGAGAGGAAGAGTTAGTTGGTAAACAAAACTTTTTTTTTAGTTCTGCCTGCGTATTTGTTGCAGCTCACCCGGCGGATGCGTAGTCGGTCCACTCCGTGCCGGCGCCGCCACCGCTAGTCCGATGGGCTGGCGATGCGCCCGGACTCTGCCGCAACGTCGCCGCAGCCGCACCGGCTGGCGGTGGTGCGATTTTGGCCAAACCACCGGGCGGCGGTGGTAGTACACCGCCGGTACCTTTGCCCTTGCCAGTGCGCGAGCTCCCTTCAGAGCCATCCTTTTTCTGCAAACAAACCAAACGTATTGTTAATATCTTTTATATTCAGTAGGGCTTCTTCATTTTGATGCCCTCTTAATTTATATTACAATAAATAAGATTCGCCATTGTATATTTGTTGAGGATCGTTAAGTATTACACATTTAATTCGAATTCACAGTATAAATTGTATTTGAATGCATATATGTACATATGTAGATTTTGCAAAATAATTTCATTAACTGGAGTGGAAAATATTGCATGCTGTCAGATCGTTGAAGTATTGGGTATCAAGCGTCCATTCACAGTTCAATTTCAATGAGAATGACATCAGAGAATTGAATGCAATAATAATTGCAACCGCGCATTTTATAAGAAAGTTGATATTGTTTTCTATTTGAAAAATAAGTATGAAAGGGGGTATCTTGGCTTTATGAGGACGTATGTTACAGGCAAATCTCTGATACCTTTAAGTACATATATGTATATATTTGTGAGCCGTGACCATCTGTCGTTCGTCTGTATGTGCTATAGACTATTAGAGCTAGGTACTTTGAATTGGAATTACAGGTGAGGTATTAAAATTTAAAGAAGTACTAACTTAATGGTATGAACTTAATTAAAGCCTTGAAACGATCAGACAATAATCATGAAAGTTACTTAATAATCGAATTTTCAAGGTGCGGAGTTAAGGAAATCAAGAAGCTCTGCCTAAAGAATATTGCGGAGCTGCAAACAGAGTATCTTCTGGTCGTGTGCTAGTTTTTTTTTCTTTTTGCAAATGAAGAATGGACTATCATGATTTGTACGTTTAATAATTACCGTGATGCGCATGTTTATTTTGATGGTTTCACCCTCCTTGAAGCCCAAATCGAGCTCCTGTTTGGGTTCAGTTTTCTCTTTTTCGATTTGCTCCTGATTCTTGACCCACTTGAAGTGATCCTGTAACGCCACATTCAAATCAAACGAGTCGGAGCGATCGCCAAAACCGAGGCCCAAGAAGGCCGATCGTCCATTGTCGTCCTGGACACGTATGACGAAGTAGCGTGAGCTGTCCGAGACCGACTCGATGGCAACACCGGGATATGTATCGACGGGGCAGTTGGCAAACAGAGCGCCGCTCGTCTTATCCTCCAGCTTCAGTATGCAAGTTGTGCCCTTGGCCACCAGACGCATTCGTCCGGTCCAGGTGGGCTCTTTGAGGTTCCAGTCCGCTGCTCTGCGTGTTGTACAATGATTTAAAATTATTATTTTTTTTTTTACTAATAAACATTTTTAGTTGGTGGCATGCACACATACACATATGCATGTGTGTGTCTGTGTGTGTGCGCGCTCTTATTTGCCCGTGTGTATTTATTGTTTTCTGCTGTGCGGGCGCTTCAAGCGAAAACAAAGAAAGTCAACAAGAGTAGCAACAAAAACAATTACACATATACAAAAGCTTTGACTACAGACAGACACACACACACACACATAAAAACACACACACACCCGCAAGTGTATATACATAGATTAGACTTGCAAGTGAAATGTACAGCAATTGAGAGAAACTGCAAAGCGAGCGCTTAAATAAAACTGCAGTAAAAAAAATCAATTGGAATTGAACTTCAATAGAGGCAGCAATCAACAACAGTCATGTTCAGGTTTTTTTTTATAACCTTGGCTGTGGCCTTTTGCCACATATTTCGGTATAATTTCCGTGCCTTGCGCATTTTTAACATAATTTTTGCATTTCTCACGGGCACACACATACAAATGCATACACACTGTGTTTGGATGTGGGGGCGTCTCTGCGTGAAATCACAAAACTTTCAATTGCACCACATAACAACAACAACTGGCAAATTTTTTGTGTTTTGAGCACAATTTTTCAAATTGAAGTTGACATCTCACCTGTATCCTCTGTTGCTGGCGCGAGGCGGTATTTTGTATATGAATACCTCGGGCTTTACAATCAGCACACTTTCATATTCCATATTTATTTGAATTAATACTATTGTTTATAATCTTGTCTATGAATTCCGTTTACAACTTTAAGCTTACAACTACATATACTGCGGAGCTGCAAGACAATCGATGCCAATTATCGATGATGTGTACAATCGAATGGCCTCCACAACGATTAGCGCTGATAAAAAATAATTGAATTCTAGGTTGCCACGTAGCAGCTACATACAATCTGGCTACATTAGTAACAGCTGACAATTCGCCAAATCGTAATTTAAATTTTGGAATGGTTATTGTTTATGTAAAAACAATATGACGTACTTGCTATAGTTACTTTTCGGTAAACAAAGTATTATCAATATCTCATACATTTACTGATTGTCTTTAAATATGAAATAGCGCAAGAAAGTATCGATAAGCCGATTTCGAGTTATTATCTGTAACTATCGTTGTTTCAAACAAAAGTATCGCCATATCGATGTACTGACATTCCAAGCTCGCACGTTTTGAGCTGTCTACGTTCATGCTGAAGCAAAATGCCACCGGACGTGCAAATAACGAGCGACAGCGACTTAGATGTGGTTTTGGAGGAGTTTAAGGCCAGGCAGGCTCGTCGCGATAGCACCGGTCCCAAATACAGCTGCAGCATCAGCGGCTGTGACGCGAGCTTTAAGCGTCTGGACCAATTGGATCGCCATGAATATCATCACACCGGCATTGTAAGTCGAAAAGGGCTCCTAAGCGGCTTCCAACTGACCATTTGTTTTTGTAGAAAAAGCATGCTTGCAGCTACGAGGGCTGTGACAAGAGTTATTCGATTGTCACTCATTTGAAGCGTCATCTGCGCAGCACACACGAGCGTCCTGCGGCACTGCAGAAAACAATCAAATGCAGTCTGCCGGAGTGCAGTAAGATGTTCACATCGACCAGCAATATGACGCGACACGTTCGCGAAGCACATGAGTGTCCGCGTGAATATGGGTGCACACATTGCCCGGCCAAGTTCAGGCAGAAGATGAAACTGCGCCGCCATGAGATTACACAGCACACACAGGCGTATCCGTTTCGCTGCGAGAAGTGCACTCGCGGCTTCTATCAACAGTGGCAACAGGAAAGCCATCAACGCAGCTGCAAACTCTACGCCTGCCCTCAATGCGAACAGCAATTCGAGAAATGGACGCTCTACACAAAACATTGCCGCGAAACGCTGCACGGGCGCGAACGCCACAAGTGCGAGCAATGCGAGCGCAGCTACGAGAAGCCAAGCGATCTTAGTGTCCATATCGCTGCTAAACATCCTGCAGAGAACGAATCGAATTTTGCATGCACCGAGCCTGGTTGCGATCGCAGCTATTCCTACGAGCGTAATTTGCGACAGCACGTCTTGTCCGCACACTCGGGCAGGCGCTTTGAGTGCCTGGCCGTTGATTGTCAGCGCTGTTTCAGCAGCGCCCAGAATCTCAGCAAGCATTTGCTGCGCGACCATACAGCCAAAGAGCGCCTGCCGGCTAAGAAGCAACAAAGCCCAAGTCCAAACCCAAACCCATCCCCGGCAGTAAAAGTGTCGCGCAAGCGTCGTCGTGATGCGGGCAAGCCAACGCGCTCTCGCCTATCCAAGCTAGCTTGCCTGGTGCTCGACAAGAAGGTTGATAAGGAGGTGCGCCTGCGCAAACCACTGGCGCTAACTAGCGTATCCCAACAACTGCAAAAGCAACAGGAAAACCAACAGGCACAGATTGACGATGAAGAAATTGAGGAGCTGCTGGCACAAACACTGCAGAATGACACCGAAGAGGAAATTGCCGCATAATGGGTCACAAAAATGGGGGCTTATACAAATGTCTTCTAACCTTAATAAAAACATAGTAAATTAACTATTGTACAAATATTTAAGCGACCTTTTTTTGGAATTATTTCTTGTAAAGCAATATCATACATTCGTACTTGATCCAACCGAAAATAACAACTTATTTATTGCTGATTACCTGTTAGTTTTGTTTATGCTTGCTGTTTGCACATAATTGTTGTTTCATTGTTTACTTCCTATGTAGAAAATTGTTTGTCCTGACTGACTGATTGATGAACGACGCACAGCCCAAACTATCAAAAATCTTTGTTCAAATCCATTTGAGAGGTATTTAACACTTTTCGGAGAATCCATCCCTTCTTGGTGGAAACGGAAGTCAAAGAATTGGTGAGTGACGTTTTGGGCTCAAATTACTTTACACGGACCTTTATGAAAATTCATTTGAGACGTATTTTTCACTTTTCGCAAAGTCCATGCCTCCTCGGTGGGAAATGCTCCACATAAAAACTTAATGAATACGTTTGTATGAAACTTTTTGTTTACCATTATCAAAAGTCTATGCGTAATTTTTATTTGAAAATTTATTTGATACATATTAATGTTTTTGGTTGGAAAATGAGGGTCAAAAGTTGTGTAAAAGGTTATTTTTCGTCTTGAAGCTTCTCACCGCGGGAATCTATGTAAAATATAACATTTGACCTGGATTTCAAGAAAGTACACGTAGATTTAAATTTTCAAAAAAATAGAAAACTGATGTCAAAATTGGCAACAAATTTGGAACGGGCTGGGATAGACTTGCTTTTTATCTGAACTGCTTTTATAATATTTTAAAAGATCTTTAAAATTTATAGAGCACGTGTTTCGGAATATCACAATCCATAATAAAGATTCGTTTAAGATTTAATGTTTAACTTAATATCAAACTTATGTTAGCGAACAAATACGCAAGCTCAAATGGCCTGAAAACTATTGAATGGAATTGTTCAAAGATATTTTCAAATATGAAAGACGCGACCGGGCAACGCCAGGCAATTACCATATATCCAGAGAAACGAAACATTCAAAGTTGAGTTGTATGAAAATCTCGCTCTGTGAATGGAAAATCTAATTTACATTGTTTCTATATCATATTGATCCCATAGGCCTCATGGCTCGAAAATAGAGTTGTACGAAAATTACACTTTATCGTGCCATATTAACTGGTTATCAGTTCAAATAGATAATTGGTTATATTCTTAATATCTATTTTAGCAGGCTTCCAAATGCCCTGTTGAAATGTAGCTACATGTCTTCCAGATACAAAATCAATCTTGAGTTTAGTTGTTAAAGTTCTATACTTTTTTCGATATCACAATTATGTAAACCTAACTTTTAACATTTATAGCAAAAACAAAACAAAACAAATATTTCATTAAATATATATTTTTGTCGGACATATTAACTGATATTTCACGTTTACATTTTCCAATATTCACAGAGTTTGAGCAAGTTCTTAAAATGCTGTAAGATAAGTTTTGATTTGTATTATTTTCTAATGAATTCAACCGATTGGCGTTTCAGTTTGATTTTTATTTAAAAATAACGTTCTTGATAACATTAACAAATGCGCTGCATATGAAAGATGCTGTGTAAGGGTGTATGCGGTGTATTCTACAACGAACTGATGACCTTTCGGCTGCGCATCTGCTCCAGCCATTGCTCCAATTGTTGTTGCGGTGTCTGTGGCTCGGGTAGATAATAATGCTGTGGAGGCTCGCCCTCCTCTAGGCGCAGAAAGTAGTGACAGTGCTTGTACTCAACTCGCCCGAAGCGACCGCGCGCATGCCGACGCATACCCTTAAAGACACGTCCTTTGCCCACAAAGGATTCAGCTGGGATACAAGAAAAAACCGCTAAATTAGATGAGGCCTATTGTTGAAGTTGACAATTTTACCAATCCACAAGTTGCTTTTGTACTCCACGTTGTGCTGCTCAACGGCCATTTGCTGAGCCTCCAGTATCGTCTCCCTGACATCTGTGGCGCCTTTCTTGAGCACAAAATTCAGCTGCTTGAGCGCCTCATCCACGGACATGCCGCGCACAAAGGCCGCTATATACCACATCTTGTCCGGACTGTATTTGATGTTGGTGCGCATATGGCATACATACTGGAAATGAATAAGTTGCCATTAGAATAAGCGCATATTCAAATGTCAGCTCTCTTACCGCCTTGCGTGGCTCCTCATCCGACTCTTGTGGCGGGTGCACCGTTTTGTTATATTCCAGCCATTTGCGCGGCCCGTAATTGTGTTTGTTCCATTTGGTGCACAGCCCGCCCGTGGAAGCCGTGTGCACGCCGCAACAGTCAACGTTTTGCGTGATCGCAGGTGGGACTGCTAACAATTTGGCGACGCTGGTTGCGGGGGCGGTTGCCAGCAGCGGCGTCTGCAGCGATAGCTGCGCCATTTGCCTTATCGCCTTGTGCATGGTACTTCAGGTTTGTTTAATAAAAATGTCAAATGAATTATTGCTATAAAAAAAAACCTATAAGCACCATCGGTCGCGTAATCTGCCAGCGAACAGCTGTGTGCGTAGCCGAAATCATATCGATATATCGATAGCCTTTAGTGCTTCAAATGTTCGCTATAAACATAATTGAATCGTGACTATATTTTCGTATATCGTATATATATTAAAATGCTGAAAACCATATCAAAGTCAAACTATGCTCTCAACGGTCACAATTAGGTATCTTATGCTGATTTCTATACTATCGTATAAACGGCTTTTGAACTTATCGATTGTATAAATGCAAGGGCTGCAACAGACGATTTATAGGCATTTATAAGCAGGGCTACGTTACAATTTATTCAATTTAAAAAAGGGAAAAACGTTAATATAATAACTACTTATTGTGGCATATACTCCCACTATTTTGACTTGCGCTTGATCTTAACGGACTTTGGTTTGCCCCGTTGCTGCTTTTGCTCGTAAGGAGCTCTGTAGGTGCCATGTAGCTTATCCAGCCAGCCTGTAACGCCATAATTGTAATTGAACCTGAAAACAAAAAAAGTTAATTTATTTTTTGTTTAATTAAGCATGCAGAACTGCCACATACTTGGCGTGATGATAGTCGTGAAAGCGCACAGATCCACCTGACCAGGGAAAACTGTAGCCTGTATGATCGCTCATCGCGTTGATGACGGCCAACGATGTCAGGACCCAAGCCACAAGAACATGTGAGCCCAGTAAAGACAATGATATGCCCACTGGGACCAAATTGGCCAGCACATGTTCGACAGGATGCGCGTACAGAGTCATGGCCGCAACGGGTGCCGTCCACTCATGATGCTTCTTGTGCACATACTTGTAGACGGATTTGTGGTGCAACAAACGGTGCACATAGTAGAACATGGTCTCTTCCAGCACCACGAAGGCGAAAAAGTCGCGCACAGCGCTTCCAAAACTTGGAAGTTCACGTACGTCGATGCTATTATAGTGCTTGATCACCAGTACGTAAAGGCACCAGGTTATAGTCAAATTGACCACCGTTAGGTTAAACACCACCACTTTGACGGCACGCCATAGTCGTCCAAGATCCAGCGGCTCATTCTGGCCCGGCTGTATTTTGTATTTGCGAAGAAATTTCGGACGATTCGTGATGTCCATGAGCGTAAAAATGGCCGCATAGAACCAATAGACGATAAATATGATTATTGTGGTGCCGAACACCCACAAGTGCATCGGATCGTCCCCGATGACATCGAGCAAAGCTAGCCAGCGCGCCTGAAGCGATTCGCCGGTGTTGCGCCAGCGCAGAGCACAGGTGGAGAGGATTGTGTTGAAGTCCATGGCTCAATCTCAACTGGCAGGCGCAAAACGCTGCAAATATATGCTTTTCGCCCATGGTGCGTTACACCCCAACGGGCATTTCAGCTGGAGGCAGCAGCTGGAACAAGATGGTGGAAAGACTACCCAAAAAACAAGAATACTATGGAAAAAAAAATGATCAAATAAGTTGAAAAGTAAGTTGAACCCTCGAAGAGCCGGGTTCGAGTTCGAGCCGAGTATATTGATGGAATATTGTCTTAGCCAAAGACCTTACAGAGAGAGAAAAATTTGGGTTGATAGTTTGTAAATATGTCCTATATTTTTAACAAAAATATTAATGATAATAATAAAATATAATATTTGAAGTTAAAATAATAATAGCTTATAGCTCATTAAATTAACTGCATAGGCCCCGCTGTGTTTTGCCTTTTTGCTGATTAGCTGAAATGGTTATCATGTTGTCGTAGTCAATTTATAAAAGATTAACTATTGCTGAGGATTATTAAATTTATAGATTAGGTCTATTTTTGATCAGCGGGAGTACAACAACTTCATGCGCCCAAAGTTCAAGAAATCTCTTTGCGTTTCTTTCTTATTTATTATTTCTTGTTGTTTTTTATTTTTATTGTTATTATTTTTAGTTCGTGCTGTGTGAGAAATACATCATACATAGTACATCAGTGTTCATACTTTACTTCTTACTACTAGTTAGTTTTGGTTTCTGTTTTTTAAACATACACATTTACATCTGCTTTCTACTTGTTGTATAATTTATCTTTTATCATTTAACGTTTCATTAGTTTTTTGTAGTGTCTATAAAATTGAAACTTTATCTGGCTTCTCGCTTGATTATTATCACAATGAAGTGTACACACATAGAAATGTCAGTAAAAAATAATAAAGAAAAATAATAGCAATAAAAGAATACATTATTTTATATAAGGTACATATATGTACATACATACACATAAGTATATATATGAGCAGAAAGAGTATAGAGGAGAGGATTACACAATAAAACCTGACGGCCAACAGCTTGAAGAAGGGTTGTTGCACCAGGAACCAGTCACTTCATGGTGGAGTCGGGAAAGGCATCGCGTGGCGGCACAAAACTCAGCATCATAATGTGCCGCGCATAGGATTTGGTGGCACGAAATAGCGAGTCGGTGCCATGCAAGCGATCCAGGACGCCCAGGACTCCGAAGCAGTTGTTAAATCTAAAAGCATAGAACATATATCTATTAAAATGTGAACAAACTATGAAGAACAGAGTTTCCTACAAGCTGCCGAAGGCTTGATACCCTTACAAGCATACTCTACGCTTATCGATTGTTCCAATTGTAGCTATATAATTCTATAGGTGTGATATGCCCGATCAGCTTGTTGTTTCAAAATGTAAGCGTAATAAAACTTGTAATTGTTTTCTCTGATAAACGAAAAGCATATTCTAGACCTAATGCCTAACACATTTGTAGATTCAAACTCAAGATTTCTGAGATTGGTTAAAATAAGAAAGAAAGGCTAGCTTCGGCACAACCCGATTATTACTTACTCTGGCAGACTCAAAGAAACTATATACGATAAAGTAGTCGGATTTCGCCTATGTAAAGCTCGTTAAGACATTGTGAAAAATATATAAAAGTACTGTTTGACCAATTCTTCCTATAGAGCTATATGGTATAGTAGGGCAATGTTGATAAGGTTTTACTTATATGTGAGAGCATAGTTATATGTTAGCGTAGAGACTGGTTAGCATAGACTAGAGACAGATGGACGCAGATGGATCAGGAGTATATATACTTAATGCAACCGGAGAGGTAGCCTTTGTGTCCAGGTTATAAGGGCCTTAATTTTTTACCGATATTCATTAAGAGAGATATGTGATACGGATATCCTATGCAACAATTTTTTGTAGATAGTTTTTAAATGGAGCTAACAAATGGAATTCTACATAATTGACAGTTCATGGCAAAGTTATAATACCCTAGTCGAAGGGCATTAAACACTATTTGGTTGAATTTGAACTCACTTCAAATGATGAAAGTCGTGCGCCTCGGGGCTGGGAAAGAAGGGCAAATGATAGCCGGAGTGTGCATTCAGCGTCGAGAGTATGGCAAGTGCAAACCATAGCCAGGCGGTGGCCACATGGCTGCCCATCAGGAATACGCCCAGAAACGGTGGCAACAGGTTACTGAATATATGCTCAATGGGATGGCAATAGATGGCCGTGACCGATATAGGTGCGGTCCACTCATGATGCTGCTTATGTATGAACTTATAGATGTGCTTGTGGTGGAGCAAACGGTGCGAATAGTAGAAGCCCAGCTCCTCCATCAATATGCACACGGTTAGCTCGAAGCAGACCCAGTGAAATGTGGGCAGCTCTCGTATATCGCTCAGGCCCCGCACCGTCATCAATTTGTAGCTGAGATACGCCAGCGGGATGCCCACAAATATTTGATTGCAGATCACACGCCAAATGACCTGCAAGAGCGACAGAGAGAGAGAGAGAGAGAGAGGGGGGGGGGGGAGTAGTGAGAGTTTCAGATTTAACTTAATTAAGAATGAATCAATGTTGCGTTGCGCATTCGTCACCTTCAGCAGACGTCCGGCCTCGACGGGCTCATTGGTGCCCGGCTGGATTTTGTATTTGCGGAGACAGGCCGGTCGATTGGTCAGATCCATGAATGTGTAAATGCCTCCCACACTCCAGTACACAATCATTGTGAACATGGTGGTGCCAAAGACCCAAAGCATCATCGGATCATCGCCTGCGAGCACAGGACATATTATATATATTAGCAGAGTTCCACATGAGGTTTCCATCATATCTATTCTATTATTCTATCGCTACGTATTACATGCACTTATCTAAAGCTCCGTGAGTTGTAACACGCAATTCATGGCTTGAGTAACAATAAATATTTATAGATCTGAGAGTACAAGTTAAATGACCCCTGATCATTTTTTATATATGCATATATGTATGGCATGTACGTGCTTAAAGCTAAGTATAGCCCCTTAACAGAAGTTCTAGAAGCCTTTATGACAATAATATTAGCTAATTCTCTATTTACTTAAAGTTTACCTGCAAATATTGTCTGTAGCGTAACTATAAATTCAACTAACTAGATTAAAGTCTTACTTGCTGTGACTTTAATTTAGCTAAAGTATTTCACCTCAAACTTATTTTAATTTTATTGTACTTTTAATAAAAATTATATATAGAGCTCAAAGATTGACTTCAGCCTTCACACAACTTAACTTTTATCTTTAATTTTATTTAACCTTATTATTATTAATTTTCGTTAATCTTAAAAATAATCTAAATTTTATCAAAAACTTTAACCTTTAAAATAATCTTAAATTTATCTAAATCTTTAACCTCAAAAAAATCGTAAAATTTTATTAAGAACTAACATTAATCTTAATGTTGACCTTTAATATTATCTTTTATTTCATCTTTTGGAATAGCTCTAGATTTAGCTCAAGCTTTACCTACAATTTTTTCAAATTTAAAATAAGCTTTACTTAAACTACAACTTGATCTTTAGAGTATCTTTTAATTTTATTCTTAACATAAATTAAAATTAAAGCTTTCATATTTTAAAACGCTTTTTAAAGGTTTTTTTTTATATTCTTACTGATCCAGAGCTCAGTTTTGATAAAGCTTAAGAACTTAAGTTCATTTATATCTTCTATCTATCTTGAAAACATTTAAATTAGCGCAAATTAAACGTTTACTTATATGAATGAAATAAAAATGTTTCAGATCAAGTCACTGCGCAAAGTCTATGTAATATATCTAACACTATGCAGCAAAACTGAAATATTTTGTGCAAATAATTTTCAATTCCTTTTATTTTAAATAAATTTGTATTTAATAAGAAAACTAATTTTAGGTGTTTTGCGAAGTTATTAAAAAAAACAAAACCATATAAAAATATGTGATTGAGCGACAATTTATGTTGCACAGTGTTATCAATGCGCCCCGCAATTCAGCCTTTGACTGTGACTGCTGTGTGTGTGCGTGTGTGCGAATTAGTAAACAAAACAGTTGCTGTTTATTGTGACTCTGTTTGCTTTTGTTGTTGCTGCTGTAGCTGCTTGTGAATGGGAGGCAAAAGTGCAATTCGTGATATCTGACGTTAAAAGACAAACGAAAAGACATACACACACACACATGTACATTCACTCTCACGCACACATACATACATGGATTTAACTCCAAGCCTCGAGTGCATGCGCACACACTTACAGATACTTTTGAATTCTTACACATTTTCTAACCATTTTTTTTCTCATTCTTTTTGTACGCGCTCTTTCTTCACGTTTCTTTGGCCAACTTACCAAACTTGTCAATGAACTTGTCCCATTGCGATTGCCAAAAGTCACCGGAGGCGCCCCAGAAGCTCTGCAAATGCCTGGTTGGCAGGTAAGAAAACTCGTTAAATTTCTCCATGCGGTGCACAGGTGCGAAAAAAAAAATAATTAATGTAATCTCAGCGAAAGGTTCTGCAGCTGTCACTCAGTCAGCGGCCGCCAAGCAACTGAGCAATTGAATTTGGGGAAAATGGGGAATGGGGAAGCGCAGCTCAGGCCGCACGCACAAAGCAAGACAAAGAGAAAGAGAGCGATAGAAAGAGAAAGACAAGGAAGAAGAGCGGCGTTCTCGAACGCAGATAAAGCTTTGCATGCACATCACTTTTGTCCGTTACCTTCGGCTTTTTAAGCTCACAGAGCTTTCAAGACACGGACAAAACAGTTGTAAATCGGCAGAGATCTGTTTAAGAACTTCGTTACAATTGTTGTAAAAATAGTTTTGATTTGTAAACTAGGTAAATTAGCTTTTTGTAATATTTTATAGAAATTTTAGAATTAAATATAAATATTTTGCTTTCAAATCATCTAAATTAAATACCAAGGTTCATCATTTTAAATGAATATCATAGTGTTGAAGGATGGACTACGCATTTATTGTTTTTTATAATATGGATTTTCTTCAAATATATCGTAAATAAAACAAGCGGACTTTAAAAAGAAAATCACAATATTTGTTCGAATTTGGATGAAGTGGCAGGCACAATATTCTTGGAATTTTATCAAATTTATCACTTATTATTATCTTTAATATAAATTGTTGATTTGTACACAATTAGCTTCTACATAAAATGAAAAACTTTTAAATTTTTTCCATAATCACATAAAATATATAAAAATATATATAGACGATCGAAAGTCGCTTTTAAAATTAGACCGCTTCTTCAATTTTTATTTTTGATTATATATATCTATATATAAACAGAAAGACCTTTTATGTAATCTTAGTATCTGAAATGGATTTGTTTTTTTTATGAATTCTTTTATTCATATAACGTTGTTTCTTTATAAATTTATCTTTACGATGGCAATACGTGATCTTCAGCTTAGACTTATTTCTATATACCAATTCGTGTTAATCACACTCTTCAATATATTTTAAAGCTCAACCCATTTAACTATATTTGTTAAGTAATAAACGAAGATTTAGAAAATTATCCCATAAAAGTTGCAACCAATTATTGTAAATATGTGCTCAATCACATTAGAAAACAATTTGGTGGCGAATTATATTTAAGTTTTTCCAATTGATAATTCCTTTTTCTAGAGGTTATCATTTATGAGCGACAACTGCTTATATAAATGTACCCTATACCCTTTATATATGTTAAAAGATTTCAGCTAGACGTTTTATAACAATTAAATTTATTATATATAGCAAATGTAATGACGCGCTTTCTTATCATTTGATCAGTTAACCGTTACACTTTAAAAGCTCAAAGCTTACAGCGCAGCTAGCAGTGATCAAAGCTTTTGATGTGAAAGCTGATGTAAATGTGCATTATGTATGTCTGTATGGATGTGTGCGTGCATGTATTAGGTACGCTTACCATGTCAGGACATTGCGAAACAATATAAAAACGGCCAAAGCGCACGTGATGATAAATATAACGCTATGCAATGAGGACAGCCACAACGGACTGTCCACCTCGTCCGTCCAGTTATGTCCTGCCGCCTGCGCTTGCACGGCGGACATTGCCTTTGGTGGTGTCGTCGTCCCACTAACATCCAGCGACGTGTGGGCGACGGATGTGTTTGACGCCACCTTTGATTCGCCGCTTGCATTGTTACCGCTGTTGCTGCTGGCACTTGGCGGCTTTTGGGCGGGCGTTGCATATGCAGGATTATTGGACATGGCTGTTGTTGCTGTTCCGGATTTGGTTTTACATTCGACTTTTGCAATTGGTTTGGTTTGGCTTTTCCGCCTTAAATACAGCAGCTCCTCTGTGCTATTGTTGTTGTTGTGTTTGTTGTTTGTTTTGTTATGCTTTTTGTTGTCCTTGACATTTAAAGCACTTCGATTTTTCCGTTGTGATAAGTAGAGTTATGCATTTACATAAATGCTGGGCTCTGCAATCATTTTACAAAAGCAAATGGCCAGCATATGTTGTTAACTATTTGAAAGGCGATGCAACAATACAATATTATGCTTGTGCCGCTAAAATCGATGTTTATTTTTTTTGAATTTCTTTTGGTTTGGCCTTTGGCTCAAAGCTCACACTTACACAAACATGCAATGGTGAAATATCAAAGCAACACTGAGCGCAATCGATATACGATAAGCTAATAACAGCTCGCATTTATGCAGTGTGGCAGCGCTAGATTTTCAATCAGTGTGACCATGTCCAAAACTTATTTAACCAAAATTGGTGTGCCCCTCGCTGCCACACTGGCGCAAAGCAGTCTTCATTTTGTTTTTGTTGCGCGCGGTTGTGCCTTCGCCTTGTATGTATAGCAGCAGAAGCAGCAGCGCCGGTCTGAGCGAGAGAGACTGACGCCCGTGTGCAGTTAGTTGTTGGCATAGAAAATTTTCTTATTTACTTGTTTAAATTTTTTTCTTGTGCTGTGTGTGTGTCTGTGTGAGAATTATTTAAATATACAATAACCAATACATACAGCAACTAGTCAGAACTAGCTAAGAGCGAAATCAATATACGGATTTACAAATTTACCAAACAGCATTTTTTCTTTGTTTTTCGTATATTCTCAAATTTTTATTATTTGCTATTTATTTAATACAAACTGTTGTATGTAATTGTGTGTGTGTGTGTGCGTATTGGTGTGTGTGAGCGGGCACCGCGCCCAAAATTAATTTAAACATCATAGCCAATTTACAATGAAACAAAATGAGCGCAAATTGAAGTGAACAACAACAATAACGGCAACTCGTAGGACGCCAGGCAGCATCAGTCGCAAGAACAAAAACAACAACAACAACTGCAACTAAAGCAGCAGCGAAAACGACAGGCAACAACCAAAAAAAAAAGCTTTAATAAATATGATTTACCTTTGTTTATTTGCTCAGTTGGCCGATAAAAAGAAAAAAAAAACTTATAAACCCACAACTTACAGTAGAATTCGGAACCGAAGTCGCACTCAGATTCAAAAGCCAAGGCAGCAGCTTTGCACAGTTTGTTGAAAATTATTATGCTATTTTCACATTCAGTATGTGAATGTGTATGCGAGTGTGTGTGTGTTTGTAACACGCATATATGCATACAAACGTGCGCAGCGCGCGGCTGCTAAAGCCACCGTTTCGACTCGGAGTCGAGTCGAGTAGACTCGAGTTGAGTGGGTTGCACTCTCTCTCTCTCTTTTGTTCTCTCGCACTCTCTAGCTTACCTGGCTCGTTGGTAAAGTTGTGTGCGTGTTTTTTTTTTAACACTTTTTGTGGTGTCTCATTTTGGCTTTTTGGAAGTTTTGGTTTTCAAGCGACACTTGCTGGCTGTTCAGTTGTTGTTGTTATTCTTGGCTATGGTTATTATTGCTGCTAGCTGTCGTTCAATTTGATAATTGCAGTAAAACCGCACTTAGGACACCGGCTCTCAGGTAAGTGAACATTTTGCAACACTGTTTAATTCAATTTTTAATTAGAAAACCATAGACATTCCGCAACACTTTTGCGCTGTCTCCCTCTCTCTATTGCTGCACAAACAACGAGCTTGGGTAGACATTTTCTTGTTGTTGTTGCTGGCTCAAAACAGGTTTTGCTAGAAAAAAAAAGTAGCAGCCGCTGTCAAACACGAAAATAATACAAGCCAACATCAACACACACATACACATCCAAAAACACACAGCTACAGTTGTAGTTCACATGCATACAATATTAATTCGCGCTCATTGTTTGTGTGCGTATGTGTGTGTCTGTGTGGCTTTGTGAGCGTTCACTAAGGTGGGGCTGCAGCAGCGCAGACTGACGACATCAGCTAGGCAGCGTGATCTGACAGCGCTCTAGAGATCAGCGCTGTCAGCGTCGCTGCCGACGCGCAATTGGTATTGCTCGCTGTTGCTGTTTCTTTTGCTGTTTATTGTAAAGCCCATAACTTTAAAACTTTTTCTTGCGTCCACTTCATGCGGTCATCGCAGCAGCAGCAGCAGCGGCTACAAAGCTGACGACGTCATCGTTTCTGCGCACCCGTTACGCCCCAGCGGTGTCAGCAGCTCGCGCTGACGCTGACGCCGACGCTGACATCGCTACGACCCAAAATTAGCTTAGCATTTGTTTTATTGAGGGTCACAATCATAACTTGGTCTAAAAAAGCTCTTCAATTGTGAACGTACTTATATACGTACATATGAATATGATTAGAGTGATTAGCTTTGGGGTTATGTCAGCTGCCTAAATTAACGATCAATTTACATACGAGCCTATACATAATATTAATATATATACATATAAATATGTTTGCATATAAATATAAATATGTATGCTTATGTATTTCTACATACATGCCAAGATCTTCGGCAAAAGCAGCAAACTCGTTCAAAAAATTCAGTTTGTTTTTATACTCTGCATCCATTAAAAGCGGGTATCATAAAGTTGGGAGAGGTTACAAACATTATGAGACATATTCGAACCCATAAAGTATATAAATGTATGTATGTTTATTCTTGACCAGAACAAAGAGTTGTTATGTCGTTTATAAAGGCATGTTAAATATTAAATGAAGATTTTTGTATACAAGTTTTATCTGCTCTGTCTTGCGATATTTTCCTTTAAGGCTCTTTAAACCCTTAAATATCGATGCGAGGTATAGGTATTCTGAGCATTTCTACCACATTTTATATGTAAACTATTGTATAGTATACAAAATTTTGTATAGTATTTAAAATTTTGGATTGCTCCACTCCCCCAAAAATTCAGAAAATTTAAGAGTCAGTAAATTTAAGAGGGTTTTCTTCGTTATATACACACAATTGAATGTCGTGTTAACGACAACACACACAAAATTGTATATAAGAAGAAGCGTAGGGTATATGATAGGGTATCGTCTAATTCGAACCTTCACTCATTCTCATTTTTATATGCTCAATTTTGATGACATCATCTCATTGGATACATGTCGACCGACCTCTGCGCGGGTAAATTTCGCATAAAAGCTGAAAAGAAATTTACTCGTTTTAGCCCGGAAAATTATGTTCTAAATTTCTGACTCGCTCGAATTTCAAATAAATATGTAAATCCGTTACAAGCCTGATATCGTGTATATATATAAAAATTTTCTTTTTTTGCTATTTGATTAGAGTTCTTAATCGACAAATTGCTCGCTGTGCGTTTTGCGATATGGAGGTATGTTAATTATGTTTGTTTTCTATAGCTCAGAGTTACCATAATTCCCATTTGATGGTGCCCCCATTAAGCTTAATTACGACTTCTGGACGGCCTTCAATTGAACGCGATAGCAGTAAAAAAAAACGATTTCGAATGCACGAGTCAACAAAAATAGAAAGAACTTAAAGTCGATCTTTTGACGGAACATTTCTCCAATTAATGCATATGTATGTAGTCATATAGAAATATATGTACATCTACATAGTGGAAACATAATTTGAATGGTTCATTATTTATTTAACCCACACGCGAAAGAGAGAGGCCTTCCAGACTCTTATTAAATTGAGCCGAGGGCGAGAGAGAGAGTCACGCATGTGGCATATAAATGTCTGATGGTCATGCTTCGGTTATTTATTATTGTCATTTGTTATTTGGCATTTGACATTAGGCATAGTATTCTCTTTTTGCCTCTATTCGTGTCTATTTTTTAATTTTTTTTTTTTTAGCTTTGATCTGCTTCTATTTTGCTATTCGAAGCAATATTCCAGAAATTGCAATCGCCATTTACTTAACTCTAAGCTTTAACTGTTTCTTATTTCTACGACTGTTTTTAATTAGAAGTTCGAATTTGTTGAAAATAGGAATTTTCCCTAGAAGCGAGAATATCCAATCGGATCATACTACTGCAACATATGACCAAAAAAATAAAAAATATGACTGAGCCCTGACAGCACCTGAATCGCTTTCTAGCGCCAGAAGGTATCCCATTTATATCAGCACAAAAGACCTCAAGACTGATCGTGGTGAATATAATACCCTTAATGATAATAATATCCAAGCTAAATGCAAATTGAGATATTCTTTCGTGTATTGCTGGACCTTATTACTATTTAAAAAAAAAATTAGCCACACTATGTTGCTGGATTTGAACTGGAGATTTCATGCTTGTTAGTTCGACGCTCATAGCTCACCATGATCATGATGTCAGGCTTTAAAAGAACACTTATATGGCTTATGGTTGATGTCGATGTCTTTCAAACAAACTTGAATCAACATTTTCCCGCACTTGGAGTTCGTTGAAAATTCGTATTGAAAATTACGTCTTACTTTCGAGCCAAAAGGGAAACTTTAGTAAAAGCTTCAGTTGCGAAGACTTATATATAGTTTTGTCGATTTCTTGATTTTGCTTTTGTAAATGGTTTCTCATTTTTTCTTATTCCTTATCACAAATTATTTCAGCAAAAGTCGAGTTTTCTCCTCCTTACTTGGAATAACGTTTGGTTTTTTATGCAGGCTTCTTCCTTTTCAAATGAATTGCCTTACTTTACTTTTGGTTTTATACCAGTTTTTGTTTTTTGTTATTTTTTAGATCGTTTCCTCTATCTTTTTCGTTCGGTTGATTTTATGGTTTCTGTTTCTGATGCTGCTGAGTTTATGATATCATCGATGCCGATTCGCCTCCACCTCATTCTTCAGCTCTCTCTCCCTCTCGCTCTTTTAAGATTTATGTACATGTTTTTTATTATAATTAAAATGAACGCCCAAAAACAAAAAAAATATATTTTTTTTGGTTTTTTTTACAAAATATTGCTTCTTATTTTAATTGTTAAAATAAGTATATTTAATTTTTTTTGCGCTCATTTCGATGTGTTTTTGATTGTGAAGCTGTATTTTGTGAAGCTGCTCGCTTGCTGTAGATACATTTTCATCTGGTGCTGTGTATCTGCGTGATACATTTGTATCTTTTGCCTGTCATGTGAAGCTTATTGCGGCACGCGCGTTCTGCCCCATTCTCCCTCTCTCTCTCTCTCTCACTCTCTGGTCGTTATTAAGTTTGCCAAAACAGCTGGCCACGCATCGAAGATTGCGTCATTTGCTGGCCAACAACCAGGGGCAGTTGCTCCTACACTACAAAATATGTGACTTAACAACTGTTAAAAAGGTAGCTTAAACAAGTAAGAGTGCGCATAGTCACATAGTGTGTGCGACTAGGGCGATACCCTGTAAACAGCGCTCAATTTGTTACTCATTATATTGGCAATCTGTTACTGTTAAAACTGATATAACTTCGGTTGCGTATTGTTTTTGCTACATTATTGAGTAATCTTCTTGTTATAAGATTATGAATCAGCAACCAAAAGGCAACCTATCGAATAAAAAAAGCGACCTGTTCTCACTTTAGGCTGCAATATGTCGTCATCTTGCTTCAGCGCAATCAAAAATCATTATAACAATAAATTTGATGTCAACCAACACAATGAATAGGAATAAGAACGTTTGCAAATCTATTCGGATTCACTCGGAACCAAAACGATAACGAATCGAAATGTATTCGAATTTACTTTTCAAACCGAATCGAAATCTAGAAAAGGCCCGCTAAGCATACTTTTTTTATGGCCTTGTAGAGGGTACTGTGGCCAATTACTCCACTCTACTCTTATCAATTGCGCGAACTCATATTCGATTTTTACACAGTTTTTGATGGGTACATTTAGCAAAAAACTGCAGGAGTATAAAAAAGTTTCTGCTTATGATGTCATTTTTGTTCAGTTTGTTGCATGCTCGACACGCCTAATGCTTGCTCTTAAAAAATAACCAACTCCCCTTCACACACACACGTAGCAAATCCTTTTTCCGGCCTACAAAAAAAAAAAAATCAATAAAAGCGCCAACAGTTTCGCCTTGGAGCAGGAAGTATGCAGGCACAGGCCCAGGCACAGGCACAAACAAGTATACAAACAAATAAACAAACAGAGCTCATAAACAAATGTCAGGCCGGCGAATGACATCACCGACAACGACAACAACAACAACAACAGCAACAAAAACAACAGCAACAACAACAGCAACTACAACAACAAAGTTGTCGTCATCAGCGCTCGTTATTTGGTTAACACAACTTCGTGTGTTTCTTCTTTAATTTTCTTCATTTTTGTTTTATTCTCGTTCTTATTGCTTCACTTGAACTGGGCAAAAAAATAGTAAAATTAATAAAAAGAAAAAATTATCTGCAATTTGTTCTAAATAATACGCTTGTCTCTAATGCACAATTCTGGGTACTTGAAATCGCGTGTGGAGTTGGGATAAGAAAAGAAAGAAATTGGAATAAATTATAGAATGCCCGTTTTTCAAATTTTTTAAAATTAGTTCCGAAAGCAAAGATCGAATTTCAAATATGTTTTGTAATTTTTAAAATATGGCTGCATAAAAAATAACGTTTACCCAAAGGCAATTATCGAATTTCAAGTGTTCGCTATTTTATATTTTTAAATTGAAG